TTCATACAAAACGCTGAATAGATGCCAAAATGGTAGAGAAATTGGCTTATTTTTATTTCTTCCGCTAAAAAATAAAAGCCTATATACGATGGAACCCAGAATAAATCATTTTTAAAGTGAAAAATGTGATATTCTGCATGAAGTATTGCGAGTTGAAAACATAAGCTGGAACAGGGTCATTTTTCGACCTTTTAGATCCATCAGACAGGATTGTGATAGCTCTAAATCGATTCTCCGTCGAAAATTATGTGGAAATATACTCATAACAGGCCATCATAGGTGTGTTTTCTATGCTATAAATGTGATTTTGTTTGCAGATTGCGACCATTCGTTTGTTCTATGGAGAAATGTCGATTTCAGATCAAATTTATAGGTAAAGCGATGTTCAAAGAGTCATATATTAATGTATTTTGGCGAAAAAATGGCAGTTTTCTCAGATCAAAACATCGTCAGAGGCCATTTTCGACCATTTTTGACCATTTGTGGTGCATGACAGTCGAAAAATCGAAAAATTTGAAAAAATTTCAGGTTTGTCCCAAAAATTTTTTTTGCTCAAATTCGACCATTTTTGGTGGCAAATGGAAAAAAAAATAAAAATCGACCCCTCAAGGGGGGGGGGGGTAAATTTTCTATTCCCATCCTGAATGTTCGGAAGCCCAAAAATCAGGTCAGGTGGTATCTGGGGAGGTACCCCAAACATGGGATCGGAAGGGCTCTTCAAACCCTAACTTGTGTAAAAATTTCATTCACCTATGATTGCGTTGAAGTTTTTTATCAATGGTCCGAAAATTCGGAAATTCTCGAAATTTCGATTTTTTGACCATCCGTACAGGGTCTCTTGAGGCAGACCCGGGGAAAATATTTTGGCTTTCTTAGTTTTTGCCCAAACCCAACTTCCGTGCAAAATTTCAGCCGATTCTGAGAACCTCGATGTGAATTTTGATTGATTTCGTGTGGAATGGTCGAGTAGCGAATTTATTTCTATTGCTGCTCTTTGTTCGGTCCAGTTTATCAAATTCATGTTGAATCATTGAAAATTCAATATAATATATCATGGAAATCAAATCTTCTCGTGGCCACTTGAAATTGTCTCGGTGGCCACATGTGGCCCAGTGGCCACCATGTTGGACAGCTCTGGCCTAATACTTAAATTCAAATAAATTTATAATATTGACCAATTTGGACAAACATACTCGCCTTTTACAACAAACAAAGTCAGAAAAACATACTCCTGTTTATCAGTATTCCAAACTAACAAAATACATACTCTTGTTTAACGCAAATTAAGGTTCATGAAACATACTCGCCTTTATCATAGCCATAAACAGTCACATACTCTACTTTAACTATTTTTAAGCCGAAAGAAACTTACTCTCTTTTTCTTAAAAACAAAATCACTGAAAAACATACTCGACTTTTTAAAAATATAAATCCGAAAGAAAAACATACACTACTCTCAACACCCATAGACATGTTATCGCTTAATTTCTAGAAGAACTCACGTGGTCTCTATCATAGACAACCAAATCATTGTGTTTTTCGAAAAATTATTCACACACGATCACTGCATCTAATTTTCTCATGGAGTTTTTGCTCTATGGAATAAGATAGACTCAATGGCCACTCGTGGCCACGCGAATAAAATTAGTGGCTACAGGCCACGAAATACATTCCGTTTGAAAATTCTTAATTTACAAGACGAAAACGGCAAAAAGAGCAATATTTTGTTTTTTCATAAAAAAATCCATAAATTCCATATATTTACTGCAACTTTTGGGCCAAGTCTTAATTATTCGTTCTTAATTCATTTCATTCATCCAAAAGCTTCGCAGAAAATTCGAAAAAAACGAAAAAAAAATTTAAGTCCCGACTTTAACGAAAATGTACAAAGAGAATGCAAAATCCTAATGAAACCATTGGGTGTTTTGGGTCCACTGATCATTATTTTGTCCGACAATAATCATGCCAATAGCTCATACTCAAAAAGTTGAAAAGTTAAAGTCGCGACGTTAAGTTGAAGTCTGAGCATTTGGAATGGGCATATTAGTCTTTCCAATCTATCAAAGACATGCTCCAGATGTAAATCTGATAGAAATATCTCTTTCTCGTCGATAGTCATGATTTATGAAATGAACAATATTTGATTATCATTACGTAATAAATAACATTTATTGTCGTGAATATTTCAACTAAACACTCGCATAATCTAAGAGACAACGTACACAAGTTTCCTTACGATATTTCAGTCAAAATTATCTCTAATGTTTTGTTTACAAGCAAATGAAAAATGTATCACAAAAAATTGCATACCTTAAGCTAATTAGATTATTTATCATTGTTACTTAAAAGGCTCATAATTTCTTCATAAGACTTTCCGCGCGTTTCGGGAATGAAAAAGATGCCGAAAAGCACATTCAACAAACTTATAACGCCAAATGTCATCATTGTTGTGAACAGGCCAAATGATTCCAAGAAGACGGGGAAAATTGATCCAAGAATAAACGAAATGATCCAGATCAACGAGACGGACAGCGATAGACAGGTTTGACGAATCTGAAATCGATAGTATAGTGTCAAACAGATTAAATATACCTTGAAATTCTATTACATTCACACAAAAGCACAATCTGCAATCTACAATCTACATTCCACACTTTGGTTATGATCAAACTAATTAAGCGTATTTCAAGGAACGAAAAAAGAGGAAGAAGAAGAAGAAGAAAAGAAACATTGCGATAGAGCAAGTTAAGGAAATGAATTAACTCACTTGCACTTTGCACTTTGTAATTACCTTTTTCGGGAATATTTCAAATGTGACGATGAACGGTATCGGAATCTGACCCATCCAACTGAAGTAAATGATGCATGCGAAACAAAATGGAGGCATCCAGTTCAATTCGGGTTCATCGATCCACAGTAAACAGTAGGCAGCGAATAAGAAAAAGCTGGCTGTGGTCAACAATGATGAACAAATCTGAAGAGCCTGTAAAGATTTTCCATTAATAAAAGGCATATTTTTTTTTTGTCATAATCGAGTTGTTATATGAAATTTGTGGTGTATCACAACTTGTACTGATACTAACTCTTCGGTTGATTCTTTCGACGCAATTCAAAAATAATACATTGGCAGTGATCTGTGTGATGGAAACGAGGAGTGATGAATTTTTTGTTGACAATGATGAACCCGTTTTGGTAAATATATCAGTTACATAACTCATAATCACCATTGTTCCTGAGGCAAAATTCAGTGCAAGAGCCATGAAAGATATGAAAATAGCTTTTTTCGCTTGTGGTGTTACTATCAAAGGAAAAGGCAGTTTAAATTAGTAAAAGTGACGTTCTTCGATATGAAACATATAAAGTAAAGTTCTTCATATAAAGCTAATGCAAGATGAATATGTTTAACTTACGAAAGTCTTGAAGTGTTAATTTTGAATCAGATTCATCGTCTTCATCCTCTTCCTCTTCATCTTTTTCTAATTTTCCTTTTTCGATTTCAATTTGAGTTTTTTGCAGAAACTCCGCACTTTCCAACGCCGCAAAGCTTCCTTTGTAAAATTTTCGTGCTTTCATCGCCCGCTGCAATCAAAATAGAAAGAGGAACGTTGTAAAAAGACAAACATTTTGGTCAAAAGTGAAAAAATTAAAATTCTTCAAATATAATCTTTGAAAACATTATGAATTTCTTGAAATACACCTTTTGTTTGTTTCGATTTGCCAAAAATTCCGGAGATTCTGGCAGCAGGAACATGATACTGATGAAAATTATTGGACCAATGAGCAGTGTTTTGGCTTGATCTATGCAGCTCAAATAATTTCCAATGAAAAAGGAGATGATTATTCCGATGTTGTTGAATGGATCGTATATTGAGTTAAGTGCACCTCGCATATTATCGCTGGATATATCATTTATCAGTGTTGGTAGGCCAACAGATAGGGCACCACCAACTAAACCGGTCAGCACTCGTGAGGCATATAAATAGTAAACATTTTGCGCCCAAATGATGAGTATGGCGCTCAGCTGAAAATTGGTTGGTTATTAGTCTTTTATTAAAATTTGAATGAGAAAAAAAAACTACTTACAATCAACGGCAATCCAAACAGGTGAATTGTTTTCTTTATTCCAATGACTTGGCTAGCTGGCAGGATTAGAAAATTACCTACTACAAGGTCCATGCAAATCAAATGAAAACGCTTTGGTATAATTTAGGTTAATCTAGGAAAATTACAAACCTACAGCGCCGAGATTCACAATCCCGATAACAAGAGATAATTCTTCAATGGACAGAGGGCCCGTCGAAAATGTGCTGCTCTCACTTTGAAGCTCATTGAAATTGATCGTTGCCCAGCCCGTTGTCAGCCCGTACGACAAAGTTAATAAATTGCCTGTTTCGAGGAAAGAAGTCAATTATTATCGATTTTCGTTTCAATTGTGTGAAATTGTTGGCAGAAAACACACTTATGTTGTTACTTACAACAAACGATCGTAAGAAATTGTTTGAAGATTGGCGAAAACTGAAACATTTTTCCTACTTTACAATTTTATTTCTGACAAATCTTTTCTAAATTTGTCTAATTGAAGTATTCAAAATTTATCACTTGACGCACATCAACTGATGAAGAGTGGTTATCCAATGATGCACAGGTACGAAGGTACGTGAATTTATAGATCACAGCTGTGGTCCTATGATGCGGCAAAAAAATTGCGATAAGATACAGTGGCTATAAATTATGTGAGATCAGTGTTTAATTGGTGTGTGTGTGTGTGTGCTCAGTCGTTATTTGAGTTCACATTGAATTGGATGCCAACGGAGAAACGATCTATTCGTGGAAAAATTGACGAAAAATCTGGATACGTCGATTGATTGGGTATGAAAAGCGAATGAAATAATGCGTTTTCATCTTCTTGATGACCAAGTTCAGTTCGTAATGATTTAGTGTCGAGTTAAAACTTTCGACGACATGTTTCATCCATGGAATGAAATTGTTTATCTTCGAGTGGAAGTTTTTTTTCTTTCTAATCATGAGCAAATAGTAATGTGATGCAAATATCATCAATTGAGTGACTGAGATCAAGAAACAAATATTGTTCTTTTTCCTGAAAATCACATGACGCAAAGGCGGAAATAAACATAATTTGAGGATTTTCGAGATTAAATCGTGAGACAAATAAAAAGTGATAGTTGATGACCTGAGTAGTTGAATACAAAATTTTAGTCCAAGTTATGGTCTGTGCACCTATCCTGGCCAGTATGATTCTTTAATTTAATTTTAGAAAACTCAAAAATTTCGAGTCGAAATGAAAGTTTGAAATCAGAGTTCAGAAAATCCATCTGGTCATCATCACAAACGAACTAGTTTTAATAAAAAAAGAACCCATTCGGATTATAGTTTGGTTACACCAAGACGACTTTTTGGCCCAAAAAAGTTTCTTATCATTTTTTGACTCTCAACCATCCTTATTTATACTTCATTTTATTCGCTATTATTCGGTTGGGGGCCCGAGTTATATTTAGAATAGTTAAGAGATTAAGTCATACCCCAATTGAATTACCCAACAAAAACACATGCAAATTTCTTTGCAAATATGATGTAGATACAGCGCGGCATGTGGCATTTCGTTCTATTTCGAAACTCATTTTGGAGCTTAGGTGAAATTATCTTTCGTTTGATTTATAGCAAACATCTTGTTCACAAACAAGTGTAATGACATCAGCTTCGGTGTTTGCATCGTGACACAGCATCTGAATATGAGTTCATCAGAGTAGCGTCGTAGATCAAACCAATATCAATATGAATGACTATAGTTCATTCATACACTTCTAGTGTGGTAAAATTGCGAGTCTATTTTTATAAAACAATACAGGAAAGTCAAATAGTCGGCGTCTAGAGATAGTAATTTAAATATACGTAACATAATGTCAAATCTTCATAGCGTTGTTTATTTGACTAGCCTTGGCGAGGATAGTCTTCTTTCTTTTGAAAAGCCATATTTTGCGTCATGATTGTGGTTCAAGCTTTTTATTTGTTTCGGGTATAGAGATAGAGCTTTGTTGATCACTTTAAATGAGTTGATGCAAAAGTTACGAATACTTTCTTCATACGTTGAGATGGCCATGTAAAAATCATAAGTTTATTTATAAAAAATATCACAAATTCCAATATCTTTTCTGGAAATATTTCACTCCATGACAATAAACGGTATGCGAACCGACCACATCGATCTGAAGAAAGTGATGAATACAATGCACTTTTCTGAAACCCAATTGATATTCGCTTTGATTCATCCAGTCTGTAATGAATAGGCGCATATGCAGTGAATGCGAGTACCGTTTCGATTGTTGAAAGATACGGCGATTTGTAAGGTTCTGAGCAATAAGATTGCTAAAGATGGAAACTCCATCGAATACCTTCAAATGCATTATTTTTAGGTACTTAAACCGCTTGGTCCACTCAACTCAAGCAATTTGGAAAGCAAATTATCACGGTATTATTCAATAGATCAAGTGATGAATTGCAATCACCACGCAAAACACTAAAAACTACACATTTGTTTAAATGTAGAATCTGCCGAAAATTCTTCGCTTTTCCGATTACACATTTGAGTGGTCGGGAATAAAAGTGACTCAAGTTGAACCACTTATGGATAACCGTAACACAATATTCTTGATTTTTAAAAGTGCAACATAAATTCTGTTCGCTTGTAAGTGAATCGTAAAATATCTGTGGACTATAGAAATCGTGTTTCACTTTAATTGAAGCAGAAATGTTCGATACACTTTCAAGTCCATTGGAATGATGATTCATTTTAATGGTGGTTTTGGTTGTGATTTGGCTTCGGAGTGAAAATTAAGTGATAAGGAGGGCGATTTCGATGTGGCGATAACACCATTGGATTGGGCACATGAAATACTGTTCCAAAATCGAACAAAAAGTAAACTTTTTTTTCGATTCTTGCCTGTTTCCGACCGTCTACAGTCGGAGTCTGTATGAAAACCTCGGAGCGCCGCTGGTATTGCATTGGCTTCTAAAGCCAAATGTACACATGGAAATATCTCGAAAACGGCTGGGTTAATCGACAAAACGGACCATGATGTCAGTCCCGAAGGGAGTGTAAACACCCGGCTAGTTTGACGGCCTAGAATACAAATCCGGTAGAATTTGGGCTGATCCATGGATTCTCAGGATTCGACCTGATTCTAGCACTTCAATTTCTTTCATAACAAAACATAGGTAGAATGTGTTTACAGATGCACATAAAAAAGGAAGCACTGGAATCTGGCCAAATCCTGAGAATCCATGGATCAGCCGAAATTTCACCGGATTTGTATTCTAGGCCATCAAACCAGTCGGGTGCATACACTCCCTCTAGGGAGTGACATCACGGTCCATTTTGCCGATTTACCCAGCCGTTTTCGAGATATTTCCATGTGCAAAAATTTAATAATATTATATTCAATTGCATTGGCCTATATGGAAAAAAACTCGAGCGTCGAAAACTTATGCTATTTCGCTCACACTTATGTGCAATTTTTAAGTGTATTATAATCGGTTGTTCGACGAACAACACAGTTGCTTGCTGGTCCGATGCTGAAAACTAACGCGCAATAGACATTGCACACACAAACGAGATTGTGCATGTTCTGGCAACGTCGCTTTGGAACCGATTATGAATGAGCGTAAATTTTTCATTACGTTCATTCATAATCGCTTACACCACCGGATGCAGCTAACTCGACTTTGAAAGCGAATGTGTTTTGTGCATGCAGCGAAGATGTGAAATTTTTTAAATTTGAACAGCCACGTGCCATAGTAACACCACTCAACCCTTCCAGAGTGAAAAAAATTTTCTTTTTAAATTTTTACATTGAATTTGTAGTTTCAAGAAGGTGCTGAAAGAATAAATGTAAACATCTAATATTTTCAATGCAAAACATTCGATGTGAAACGCGAAATTAAACACACGCGCACAGGTGGAATTGTAATTCCATCAATTGTTTTGACATTGTTATCTTGAAAAATGTGTGCGATAATATTTTGTGGACTTTAATTAGAATCGTCATTGTACGTGGATTGAATCATACAGTGTGTTGCCAACCGACGTGGCCACACTTGAAATGTATATAAGAGGATGCGTTCGATTCGCATGTCCATCAAACAGTTCTTACCAATTGATACGTTCATAGTAAACTTTTAATAGTTCGAAGCTAAAAAAATGCTGAGTCGAAGTTTTTTCACACTGCTGCTCATTGGCTTGATGGTATCCGAGGTGAGTCGACAATTTCAGTCGATTTTTTTAAAAATTTTTATGTTTGATACTTTTCGTGGACAATTTGTGATAATTTTTTCTGAAATAATTTAAAAAATGAAAAGTGTCCTTTTTTCAAGTTCTTCAATTGAAAAAAATTCTCCTATTCCAAAAAAAATGTCCACCGGAAACGTTTATTCTATTAAAGACAGTTGAAAACTGTTATAAATACATTTATAATTAATCTCATCCGTTGTTCCCATTCCAAATGTATCACTTTGATTCTATTTCCACAGTTCTTAATCGTGGATGTGAGCGGAGCACCACCCGGGAGGAACGGTAAGATTGAAGTTTCATTTATTTATCCAGTTTAACTCTTAAATTCCATATACAAAGCACCTTGTAACGAAGATATGGGAACCTCATTTATGCTAAACTTTTCACACATATTTTAGTAAACGAAAAAGACATAAAGGGAGAGACAGCTCTGCATAGAGCTGCTTTTGCTGGTAATTTTAGACATTTTTTTATAAAAAAGAATGTTTTGTTGAATCCGTTTCATTGATCTATGAATATTTTTTCATATTCTTTCAGGCAAAGTGAAGGAAGCTGAAAACCTCATCGCCAAAGGAGCCGACCCTAATATTGGAAATGATTGTAATGAGACAGCTCTGCATTATGCTGCTAAGAAAGGTAACGTTGAATACTTATTGTTATTGAATAAAAGATTGACCTGATTTTTTCCCATCGATCGGTGTTATTGTTCAGGTCACAAGAGGGTCGCCGAACTTCTCATCCGCGAAGGAGCCAATCTTGATAGTGAAACTTATACGAAAGAGACACCTCTTCATTATGCTGCTGCCCATGGTAATTTTAAATACTCTTTTCGAGTACTATGCGCATTAGTATTGCTTAGCAGCAAGCATTGAATATGCCTTGGCCAATAGACAAGCATATCGCGATGCAACTGCCGCGCACACAACTATTGTGCAAACAAACGTCGCATATACAGCCATCGCAACCAACTCACACACAAAACTGACTAGCATACACGGGTGTCAGATTTGTGTGAGATGTCTACTACACTTCGTCAGTGTAGCCTTGACTTTTTTCACTAAATGGGAAATTGGTTTAATTTTTTCATCGATCTGGGTTATTTTTCAGGTCAAAAGAGTGTCGCTGAACTTCTCACCAGTAAAGGAGCCAATGTTGATATCGGAAATATTTCGAATCTGACATCTCTTCATTTGGCAGCTATGAATGGTAAGGTTGACTAAATAAGATATCCCGCTGATCTCTTTCATTGATCCGTATTATTTTAGGTCACGGAGGTGTCGCTGATGTGCTTCTCAATAATGGAGCTAACGCTGATATTGGAAGTAATTTGAATAGCACAGCTCTTCATTTGGCTGCATCCGGTGGTAATGTTGAATGCTTGTTCTTATTAAAGAAACGATTGATTTGATCTCTTTCATCGATCTGATTTTTTTCCAGGTCACAAAAATGTCGCCGAGGTTCTCATCAACAAAGGCGCCAATATGGATGTCATGACTAATTTTATTCATACACCTCTTCATTATGC